AAGTTTTGCCTGAGAGCAATTATTTCCCTAACTACTGTATATTTATGGCTTTATCAGTCATAATAATCAAACAAATTCTAAATCAAATCAAAAGAAGAAACTTCTAGTTTCATTTGCAAAAGTCCTATTTTTCAATATTAAAAGGAAAATTGCCACAAGGTTTGCTTAATGGAAACAAAATCCATACTGAAATGCACTGAAATATTCCATACTGAAATATTCTGAAGCACAGGATGCCACCAGTTTCCAGTGAAGAAAAGTGTAAATCTTGATCAGAATTTCTTAAGGGGCTTTCCCAGTTGGCCTTTGGAGTTGATGAATGCTAATGTGCTTTTTTCCCATCAATATACAGTAAAGGGAATAATGTATTAGTGACCAATTCAACAATAGTGGGGGTGTTTGGTGAAATGTCAAGAACTTTCTAAACAAATAAATCATACCTTATTATCCTTCAGCCCACAGTTAAAACAGCTTTTGCTTTCAATACAACAAGCAAACACTTAGCTGCTCCCCACAGGTTCCAGTGTTTGAAGCTGGCCACATTTCAATAAAATGTTGTTTAAAGAAATAAAATATTGAGAAAATAAATAGCAAGCTATATTCAAGTCACCTGAATCACATTTATCTGGCAGAGGGTAATAATTACAGACATTCTGAAGTAAATGCCCGGACTTAAACACTCCCAAATGAAATAACTTTGAAAACCTGAGGCAACAGACAGAGTAACCTGTCTGCATCTAGGAGAGATTGAGGATTAGACAATGGATCAAATGCCACACATTGAGAATTCACACAAGCAGTGATGATGCAGTCTGCAAAACTGAGATTTGCAGTCCTGAGAAGATCTGAGATATAAGCTATTTAACCAAGTCCACCTCTGTCCTGTGCCTCAGCATGGAATCAGCTGAGGTGTTTTCATGGTGCAATTATTAAAACAGGGACAAATTATGCTCTTTCAGCTTGCCCTAACWGCCATGACCCAGGGGAAAAAGCCCTGAGAGACAGAACAGAGAAAAACCTGGGAAGTTATCATACTATTTCCTAAGCGTACTGRTTTAATGGATGAAATTAATGAGAAACAAATAATGGTAGAAACTTCAAGTGGAAACCTGTTTACAGCTCATTTCCAGTGAAGTTGTGAATGTCCAAATGATTCATGTWACACAGATGAGTTTGCAAGCTTCTAAGTACTTCCTTGGTAAACAAGAGCCAAGCACTCTGCAGCCATTACAAACATCAATGCATGTCTCTCATGGCTCTGGCTCTGCAGCAACAAACCTTATATAGTATTGACATGGAAGATGTTTCTGGTTTTCCCAAGAGGCACATTACAAAGGAGCTCCAAATGTCTTTAAGGAATAGCAAAGCCACTTTATGTCCAAGAAAGAGCGGTACAACAATGAACTATGCTGCTGGCAACCAGGACAGTRTGACAAAGGTACCGCTCAGTTGCCAATGCAGGCACTGATCTACTGGCAGTAAGACCCATACAGAAAAAAAGAGAAATCTAAACATGATTGACAAGAACTAGAAGCAAATTCTCTGGTGTTTGGCTTACCAGGGGTGGACCACAGGGGAGCTGTGCTGGGATGACAAACTGTTTTGTGAAATGGGACTTGGATGTATGTGTACGGGCATGTATAAATAAAAAGGGATGCACTGAGAATACACTTGACTTGTTTCAACTAAATTCTCAACTCRCTGAAAAACAAACAAGCATGCAAGATCTTTAATGTAGCAACCCACTAACAGTCAAATAGGTAGTAAGACACCAGAAACAGCCTCCTGGGAAGTAGAAGATCATTTTCTTATTGATCTAACAAGGGAAATCAAACTTTAACTGGATTTCCTATAAGCACAGAGTAGAACAATCTAATTATGAAAAGCCCAGACTGGGTACGTTAATATTGTTGGTGAACTGTACAATGAGCACCATTTATAAGCCCCAGGGAAATTGGGGCACCATTGTGTTAGTTTGGTACTGTGSAAACACACAGGACGCTGTTTGCAGCACGCAATTTCTGTCATGTCCCCAGGATCTCCATGCAGGCTGTGAGGATAAACCATTCAGCTCACAGCTCCTTCCCAGCCCCCATCTCTCCTGGCAGTGTAAATGTTATCTTTAGCATTTTAAGTATATCTAGAACCAGAATTTGTTTTCCTCAACTTGTCTAAACCATTTTCGCTACATCACAAGTAATGGCACAAATAATTTGGGGAATGAAGTCTGCAAAAAAATAGGCATTTCTTCAGCTCTGAACACAGCAAAAGTAAAAGCATTTTGCATATGTAGTCTCCTTTTTTTGCTTAAATCAGTAGGACATGTACTGGATTCTGTCTTTCTTACCYACTCCCACAGCAATACAAAGAGATACCAATTCAAACAGAGGGTTGGCTAGTGTGGATGAGATACAATAAGAACATTAAAAAAAAAAGTATTTTTTCTGGAAATAAGGGGAAAAATAGACAGAAAGAAGTTTTACTTGGATTCTTCTACAACAAGGACATTATCTGGTCAATGGGATGTTAAGAATATCCTCTATGGATGAAGTACAATAAAATRAGACTGAGCACAAGCAAAATGGGAAATGAAGACCAGAGAACACAAAACATGCTATGGCATCCCATTTGTCTGGTGAYGGGAAGCCTGGTTAGCAAGGCTGTGAAAAAGAAGCTATTCAACCCTTTTGTAACATRAACTGTTTTGTTAACCCACTCATTCTGGCAGTAAATTAATGTATCCCRTATGACTGAATGGTCAGAGGCCTTATTATTATTATGGCCCATCCACTGAAAATTGCTGGTGTAACATAATCCTTTCCCTTGGTGGTGGGAGCATCACAAGGGCTCTGCTGGGGTCACTCTTTCAGTCATTTCACACTCCCATTGTGTACCAGGTTGTGATTCATGAGTCAATGTATTTGGAGACCCACAGAAAGCTCATGAGCTGCACTGGTTAAGCAGAGACATCCTCAGAGCAATCAGGGAATACCACAAATATTTAGATTCTCCCACTTATCTCCCCTTGCAGCTTAAACCTGCATGTGCTGGCATTAGAACAGGGTATAGCTTTCAGAGAAATCAGATTATAAACTGAGATGTGGTTTTGAACATGTGAGCCCTCTTCTCCAGACCTTAAAAGCCATGTGCAGTGGAAAAAAGGTGCCTTTAATTTAATTCCTGTGTATTTTCCAGATGAGCTTTGCAGCAGAAAATACAAGATTAAACTGTTTCATGAACAATCACAAGGAAACAGGTGCTGCAAAAAAAACAATAACTCTAACTTGTGTTTAAGAAACTCAAATGATAATCTGGGTCATTTTCTTGATGCATCTGCAATTTCAATCTTTCTTTTGCAGAACTGTCAGATTCTAATTAACTCACCAGTTTTTTGCCCTCTATCATTGAAGAGAGGAAGGGAACAACAACAGTGAAAGAAGAAGACAGATTTTCCTGTGAAATATTCATGTCTGATTAAAACAAAGCAAACTGGCAGATTATGAGTGTGTTTACACAACCGTCGATTCTGCAGAGTAGCACTCAATATGAGTGCCAAGAAATGCCCACCAATTCCTCAACTTCGGGAATTGGGGCTCTTAATATTCCCTGCAGAATGATTTACCTCAGTGCTGGATTGCACAGACACATACTCGGTAAACTCCAAGTTTGGTTCTCCTGTTTAAAAGAGTGACATTTTTCCGTACCTGTAACATTCTCATTACTGTATTATCTACTGAACTGAATTTCACCGTGTTTTAACAGCAAGGGCTTCTCCTTTTGGCCCTCCCCAGTTAAAACAGATGGTTAGATTTATTCAGCAATTAAAATCAAGGTTTATTTACTGGATCAAGGTTAGACCCAGTGCCCTATCATGTAGGCTTAAAGATTCTGCTAATTTATTTTAATCTACTTACACCTTTAAGGCATGGATAATGGAAAACAGACAAGAAATCTCTTCAACTTTCCAAATTAAGAGACAAGAGTTTCTTCCTCTGTCAAGAATAGTAAAGCATTCTAGAATGACCCTAAAAGGTCAGCAAGGAAGCCTTTGACTACTTTCTTCCTGGAAACTCTATCTCAAAGGTCACAAAACCACAACTAAATTGCCTTTAGCAAAGAASCTAACTAGAGACACATTGCAAGGTACTCAATTGCCTTTAGCAAAGGATGTAACTAGAGATGCATTGCAAAGCCTTAAATGGGAACCAAAATCGATATTTCAACATTTAGGAGGAAACCATTTTTAGCAAGGAGACTCAGCAGCTGCTGATGCTGGCACACTGAGTTTAACACACTAGCCTGGAGTGAATTTTCACATAATGRTGGTACCAATATAAAGATCTACCTGTTGTGTGGATAAGTGGACAGATTATCCAGACAACTGAGGAGTACATGTGCATTCATGGAAAATCTGACTGGGATCAGGACAAGAGAAATTCCACGCTTCAAAAGAACAGTAAAAGAATTGGTCATTGCAACACAAAGGCCCCCTCTCACATTCAAGTTAAATGCCCAGATGAACAACAGAGAAACTACTAGCACAGGTGACAAATACATAACAAAACCAAACCAGGAATGCTACAAACAAAAGGGGAGCCATTCCCTGCAATTTTAAATCAAATTACTTCTCATGCATTCAAGCGTGTCCAAATTCTCTATCACATTTCACTTATTGTCTGGCTCCAGCAAGCCAGGTGAGGCATTACTGAATCCAGTTAGAGAAAAGGAAACTGAAACACAGTTTCAGCATGGCACAAGATAACAGGGAGCCTGTAGAGAAGTGGAAAATGGAGATTTTTAGACCAGTAGTCCCAAAACTGCCTGAATTGAGTGACTGATGTGAAACCTCAGAATTAAAACAGTGTAAAGCATCAAAAGGAAAATTATTCGTCAGGCCACTTYCCCATGCCTGTGGATCACACTTGTAAGGAAAAACAGCACAGACCAAACCTAAATGGATCATCCTAGTGGAATCTGAAAGAGGAATAGAAGCTCTTACCTTCAAAAGCAATTGTGGGGTGTTCTTTCCTAACACATTGCTGATGTTCAGCTTCAGTGTATTCAGGTACATTCTGTGATGCTGAGAGATGAAAAGCAAGAAGAAAAAGGCTTGGAAATGACAGGGAAATGGCCTTTAATCTTGAAACAATCATGACTGAAGGGCGGCTGCAGATCTAGCTTCCAAGACAGGACCGCGGAGGATACCTGAAATAAAAACAATTCCACTTTCAGAAAGGCAAATGCTTATCCAGAGCATCTAACATGGGTAGGGAAGGCTGGAGGTTCCCCTTTACTCCCAACTCCACCTGTGCTAAGTAAGGTAGCACAAGGTAATATTCCACAAACAGCAACAAAAAAAAACCCCAAAAACATCCAATTTACAACCATAAATAAGGGAAGTACACAGCTCCCTAAATATCTGTGTATCCTTGGGGTGTGTGTTTTACAAAGCACCTGGTGTGCAATGGCTGGCACTGACAACATGAAATCTCAAATATTCCAGGGGTAAATGTGTCCCCCAGTGTGTACACCTCCCTCCTCAATTTCATAATGTGTCCATGATAAATTCCATGCTAAATTCAAGTGATTACWAAGGAAAGACCATCATTCACCACGAAAACACATCTGAAATTAATAGGTGATTTATACACGTGGCCACTGGTGCTTTAAATGTCTTGAAACAAAACAAGCCAGTTTGAAGGTCTTGCCAGTTAAGTGCCAATTGAGGTAACATAAAAATTAGAATATTTTAAAGGGGGAAATGGTGAGAAGTGAGTTGATTGCTTTCATTATTATAGAAGGCTATAGCTCCCAGTCACAAGAGCTGAGGCTCAGCCAAAGAAGRGAATTCACCCTCAGGTGAGGAAAGTCATGCCTTTTCTACATGAGCTTTTTTAACAACAGTAGCAGTAAAGGTACAGCTCTAAAGAACTCCCCCAGGCCTACCAGGCCATAGACAGAGGATGGAGGATTAATTAGCCCTTGCCACAAGCTCCCCAAGATGATGCTGCATCTTAAGAAAATCTGCATTGCACAATTTAATCTTACTGGTGTGCATTTCATATTTTCCTATGTAACTTCATTCAATTACTGCAAACACATGGTTTCAAATAAATAGTGTCTCCTACTTTTAAATCTTAACTAGTGATAAAGCTGATTCTAATTAAGTTCACACATAATGAGATTTTCAACTCCTGCAGGTGTGATTCATAAAGTTAGTGAAACAGTCWACACCTGCAGTGCCTGATACCTCTGCTTGTTTGGAGTCCCTAAAACACTTTCAGTGACCTGAAATGGCCAGGCTGATGGCAGGTAACATGAAGCACTGATGAACAATGACAGGCTTRTGGCACGGAGCAAACTCCAATATAGAGGACAATATTGTGACATCAAGGAACTGGAAGAAGCTTGTAAAGATCCTGGGGCATCACAAGAGCAATAAGGGACTGCTTACACCAGAAATGGGAGAGAATTGGTTTGAGAAATGGATTCCGTGTTTTACTCTTAACTTTATTTCTCTGTTATTTTAAACACGCATAAAGATGAGTTGCCAGTGCATCCATTCTRCACGTCCTCAGCAGCAGCTCCATATCTCTGACTGAAAATAGCATTGGCATTCRGAGCTCAGGGTAGTTCTGGGGACTTGGTTTCCCAACCAGTGTGAGTGAGACATTACAGCATTTCACATTTTTTCCATTTRCATGCAGATTTTATGCAGTGATATATAAAATCCCCTTCCAGCTCTCCAAAAGAGGTTCTACAGCACTTCACTATGGAGGGCGGCTGTTTTTAAAAACACAGCAAATATAATGTTAAATTAAAAAATGGGACTGGCAGAAGGAAGAGATGTGAAATCATTTAAAGCTAAGGCCAGCATAGTGTTTAGTCATTAAGCACAAGCATAAAGCAGGGCGTACACTGCTGAGCACCGTGGCACCTCASATGATGGACATGTTGTGCAACTCATACTGTAATAAAAATTATTGATGATGAAGCTTCACATTATATTTTTAGCCACTGCTTTRAATGATCATTTTTTCTCCAGTAAAGATCCAGAAATGAAGCACAGCACAGAGTGAAGGCCAGGGAGATGCATTTTGTATAGCTTTCGGATACACTTAGACTCAAAGCCAAACTTTCCTTAGACAGGAGATGGTTGTTACGGGAAGTGCACAAAAGGCAAAAGGACTTTTTCACTGTCAGATATCCTTGCTGGAAACTGGAAGAGACAGTCATGGAAATCTCACTTTATGCATGCTCTACTACTCCCAGTGCAGCCATTACTGGCTAATCCTAGAAAGAAGGTGCTAGACTAGACAGATTTCTAGTCTGAGCCAATATGGCCATTTTCATGTACTAATCATCTAAACAATGATCTCAAGCTAAATGGAAAAAAAAAAATCTTAAAACAAAGACACATGATAGGATCCTATGCGCCTCTGGGGCCCKATGTGGTGGGCAAACAACAGATGAGTAAATTCAAGTTTCACACTAAACGTGGTCATGAAATGATAAAAAGTTGCATACAGGAAAGCTTGATAACATCCCACAGCCTATTCCATGCCAAAGCAGAGTACATTTACTAGTGTTTTGTCTGGACTAGTAGTAAAATGTGCCAAGTATCTGGATTTCTGCCATTTTCCCTGGGAGATTTTACCACAGTCCAAAAGACTTCAGCGTTCCTTAGAAAGCTGTAACCAGGATTTGGGGAAAAGTTCCATCTTCTTTTCCTTATGTCATAGGGAAATTCAAAGTGTGCATGAAAATAATGGTTTCAAACTTGAAAAGGAAAGTAATAAATGACCAAACCAAGGTGAAAAAGAAACATTTTTAAAGACTCCTATCCTCATCGTGTTCCATCTCCTCCGTCCAATTGCATTCATCAAATATGTGGAGCTTTCATGTGCTGGAAAGTTRAGGAAAATCAGTGTCATGTGCAGCCCTGAGTTGGTGCCTGCTGGAGTAAGAGTCAATGGGTAAATGCCAGCTTGATCAAGGGCAACACAAGTCAGGGCCCTAGAGCTGAACAATAATGAGAGTGGATAACACTGAAAAAGCTTAGTCCTTCAACCTGTCCCTTTTCAGGCTGCCTGGTTCACTTTTTCTCAGTATTTTAAGACTCTAACTTAGTGATTCCCAGGTGCTGCAAATTTATTTCCAAAAAGAACCCCACRCTGAAGCAATGCCATGTGCAAGGACAGGTCTGCTCTGTGCCAAGAGCAAGCTCATAATTGCCTGGGAGAGCCCAGCAGTTATGAAGTGTTTTAATTAAATGAAATGTTTTAAATTGACTGGAGGTGGCCAAATCCAAGCCTCCAGTTTTGCCCAAGCTGCAGATTTTCACTGTGAAGCCTGGAGTAGAACCAGTGCTTAGGAGTAGTCTCCATCCAGACTGCTAAAACACTGCATGTCCTAAGCACTGCCCAGACTAGTGGTGCTTTGCAGTGCTGGAACTTGCCCTGGCCTTAAGCCATTTTGATACAGTTAAATGCTATAAAAAGAGCTGTTCTTCTTAGACTCTCTGCTCAGAACAGCTTAGGGCTCAAGAAATCAGCTGTCAAGGTTTCAGTGCAGATGAGAGACAAGAGCTCAAATCCCTGGTTAAACTGAAATCTCAGACAGAATATATCATTTCAATTCTTTATTTGCTCATCTTGATGCATCTTTACCACTTTAGCTATTCCTCTCCCTGGTCCAATGCAGACACGTTAAAAAAAGATAAAAACGTCTAAAAATATTATCTGTCCAGTTTTATCTGTCTTGTCCTTCATGAAAGCCTGTCGTCTGAGCCCTGCACAGCCCCYGTTCCTCCCTTTTCTACCCCACACAGTGAATCCCTGCAGCCCTCTGACAGAAGAAAGTCAATAAATTCAGGCTACACTGTATTTGGTGAAATTTGCTCCACAGACAGGTATTTTGTAGAGCACCACTTCTGCCACCTTCCTCTTGTCTCTTAACTCAGCCCATGTACCTCCCTCCCTGTAGTGGCAGTGGCAGGGGATGAGCAGAGAGCTGCTCCATGTGGGAGAGGCAGGAGATCTTCACACTCAGAGCGTCTCCAAAGCTGAGATTTGCAACCTCAGAGCCCGTGTCAGCAAAAACCCACTCTGCCTGCCCTTCTCTCAGCCAGGACATTCCACGGCAGCCCGAAAGGGACAGGGTATAATTCTGCTTCACCTTGTGGCTTCACCCCTGCGCAAGGGCAGCATTCAGGGGATTGCCCACAGTCCCTCCCTTATTCATTCTCAGGGCATGAGTCTTTTCCAACTTGCCCCATATTGTATCACTGCAACTCCATTGATTTCACAGGAACTAATCCTGATTTACAGAGGGTAACTCAGATCAGGCCCCTTTTGACTAAAGCTTCACATCTAAAAGAAAAATACCTTCAATCAATCTTCAGGGCTTTAAAACAAAGCACACTTTAAAAATGGCTGTACCAGGAATTCATATCCTGCTTTCCTCTGACTGTAACTATCATTTTGACTTAATAAAATGTGACAGTAAAGTTAAAGGATAAAAGAAAATGCTTCATCTTTCATTTTAAAGGAAAGAGATGCCTTTAAAAAAGACTAGAAAAGGAACCTCCTGCAATAGCTTTAATTCTTCTGTTCAGGATCATTTTTGATTGCCACAGTTATGGTTTTATTAGACTGTGATACCAGAGGGAAGAAGAGCAATGGAAAGATGGACATTAAAGTATTCAAAAAAGTATTGGAAGAATAAGGGAAATAAATATAAACATTGTAAAGCAAGACAGCTCAAAAATGTGGCTATGACAGGCTGGCACAGGCAGCTCTGCCCTAGAAAACAGAGCTCCAAGGCCAACAAAACTATGGTCCTTTATTCATCCAATGCTCCTCACCCTTCCCTTCCTCTCCAGCTGGAATCAGTCCCACCCAAGTGGTTCCAAGGGCCATTCCTATCACAGAAAAAGCCCAGCTTTTCCCTCTGCCCCTGGCCACCTCCACACACTCAGCCCTCAGCTGTGCCCATGCTGGGGACATGGATCTGTCTCACAGCCAAAACATGGCACGCTGCACTTGCGTGTCCAGGAGTCAAATCTCATACACACTGTTAGATGGGGCTCATGGATACTGAGCTTTTCTCATTTACTTGTGAAGCAAACTTATGGAAATGGTCTAACTGTGGTTGAGATGAGGACCTGGGAAGAGATCTTGTTTTGCTTTAATTAAATCACCCTA